AAAAAAAAAAAAGTATATGGGGGAGAGACAGAGAGATCTGCCATGTGTGTCACCTCCCTGGCAGGGATCAAACTCGTGCTGAAGTAGCTGAGGCTAGCTTCACAGCGTTATGCTTTAACTCATTGTGCCAATACCATATTATGAGTTCTCTTACAATGTGTGTGTGTGTGTAGTGAGGGAGAATACATATGCACACACATATATATGTGTATACTTATACGTACATAGTGTTGGGGAGGAGGCAATTTAGGTATTTATCAAAAAGTGTGTGCTTAAACTTAAGTTTCAAAAAGCTAAGATGTAAATGTAAAAATTTAACTACAGAAATACTACTACAACTGCCACCTAGTCATGAGTTTAAAAAGGTGATTCAATCCTAGCAGTAGACATTCAGATAGTAGTATCAATAAAATATTTTAAAGAAGACAGTCTAAGGAACATGCTATAGAAACTTCTCAAGGCAAGTTCTTATACAAAATTGGATCTTATACTTAAATCATGTTAACATATTCTAATGCTTCAATACATATTCAAAACATATTCTAATGCTTCTAATGTCTTTATTTTATGGTGTTTGCTTAAAAACTGTCACAGATTTTAACTTCTTGGTGTAAAATTATCGCTGAAGATATGATACAGTTAATGTTCCCTATGATGAAGTTGAATATGATGAATTCCTTTTAGAATTTAGTGGTGTGGAAGAGACTGATTCTATGAGATCTTAGATAATACAAAAATGCCACTTATGTATTCATTTTTGCTACATTTAATGTTTTAGGATATTTAGAAATTTTGCTTCCTCTTTCCCTTCAATAGCTTGATTTTTATGTTCAAGTATTTATTGTGTATATGTCTATAATGACATCATTCAACTCAATTTTGGAGGATATGCTATAGCAAAAAAAAAATTCAACATTTCTTATCTATAGTAACAAGGATTCTGAGTTTATATCTTCCTCACTATTTGTGAAGAGAAAACAAATTAGGAAACTAATACTATCCTGGATAGAGAAAGGGGTAAGTGAAACTGGAGAGTTACATGCATGTTATGAAAGCAAAGTGCAAAAACAAACATACTTTGGTGACTTTTGAAAGGATTATATCTCTCTAGAAATACCATCCTGCTGAAAATAGTGAGTAGCAATTCAGAAGAACTTGCCTATTGTTTCTGCTTACTATTGATACTTCTCACTTCCCTGTTGGTGTGGTGATATCTTACACAGCTACAGTCTGGCTATATATCAAGTATTTCAACAGGAAGGTGTGAAGAAGTGTATTTGAATCATACAACCATCAAAAAGAAGAAAACTTAGTTATGTATATCTAAATACTTTCCCCTGTGAGTAATGAAAAGATATAAATTCTCTTGATATAGTCTTGCCTACATAATTCCCTAAGTCATAAGCTATATTACTCTCCCAAGAAAAAAATGGAAAAAAATTATGCTCTCAATGAAAGCTTACAGTTAGCCAAATAAAATGAAAAATTTCAGTTAATATTTCTTAGTAATATCTTCTAAAGCGACATTATATACATTTGGATTTTACCTTTTTCAATATCATCCATTGGAGAAGCTGGGGACATCTTATCTTCAGATGGAGAATGTCTGACAAGATTGGGAGTCTTAACTGAATTCCTCATATGTTGCTGCTGTTGCTCTATACGATACTGAATTTTACTGCTTCCTTCAACTCTGTAATTATTAAAGATCAAAAGAGGTATGACAGCAAGGTAACAACAATTTTGATTTACAAAGTTGCTAAAATTGGCACGTTTGACCCCAGAGATCTTTGAAATTATATTTAAGTATCATAATATAAATTTAATTCATTATGTAATAATAACAGACACAAGTTCATTGAGGAAAATAAATGTTTCCAAAACAAAACTATTGTTAAATTTGAAGAGATAAGAGATACACAATTTATATACTATAAGAAAATGAAATTACACTAAAATATATGATAGGTATAATATATTCCCTAAATTCTAAAATCACTGATAAATCACTTTTACATTTTTCATTTATAGTTCAAAGACACATTACTAAAGGCAGTTCATTTAGTTTTCTTTCAATGCTATGAAGTGCATATAACAATTTTACTTGACTTCTGCCTCTCCCATTTCTAGACATCAAATCCCGTTAGTTCTTCCTTTACAAAGCACTACAAATCTAACTTTTCTTTTCATTCCTACACTCAAAAAATTGTGGTTTATGATTTTTTTGTTACTTTCTTTATTTGGTTTGTTTGGCAAGTTAGTGTTTCAAAACAAAATATACTCAAGTCAATGCCTGGTTAAAAAAATATTAATCTGTAACCACTGTCAATAATGCAATGCCCTATTTTCTTGGGTATTGAAGGCATGAGCTTCAGCCTATCATTATCACCTTACTTCTAACCCACTGTCAACCTCACTCCTAACTTTCCAATACATATACACAGACATAGAGACAAATCTCTTTTCTATTTAAACAAGTCTTATTGGTTCAAAATAAGTCAAACCTTGCTTATACCTCACATTCTCTCTGATCAACTAAATCAATATTTTTCAAATATTCCTACTAATAAAAGAAACAGCTGGTATGAGGAGCAAATAAAAACAGAGCTCCCAGATTCCTTCCCTGACTGGAAGTTAAATTTGGATTCATGTATTTAATGAGTATCCAAGAAGATTCTGATCAGTAAGTATGTTCAGGGGAAAAAAGGTCTAAAACTTAGCCACTTCTTATCATACATCAGTAAGAGCTCCCTGAATGCTCCAAATATCATAACCTTCCTTTAATTTTTAGAATGATTTTTGTTTATGCTATTTATATGACTTTAGAGAGTTCCTTATATATGTGATAATCAATACAGTACCTATTTCTAGATAAAGAATTTGAGATGGCTATAATATCTTATTGACCTTTTTTAAATGTAATGATCCATTAATCCAATTAAAGTGCCAAAGTTCTGAGGTTAATATTTGTATAGAAATTTTTTTTTCTGTCTTACATCTTTTATATGTCTAATAAATGTTTACTAGTGATGAAGTTATTTAGGAAATTCCATGAAACCAGCTACAATAGAATAAAAGGTATAACTATATATATATTTATAGGAAAAATTCAGAAACAAAATAAACCTTTATATCATAGAGAGAAATGGTAAAAGTTTTGGGAACAAGTTCTCAACTAAATTTAAACTTCATAAAATTTTAAATTTTGTACCACACAGAAATAACTCATATATGTATGTGACAATACATAATTTTTTTTCGCTAACATTACTTTAGTAAACTTTGTGTTGATAAAATAATTTATTAATTTACCACATACCTTGTTTTTTTAACAGTGATGTTGCTGCTGAGTTTTTCTAGTCGACATTCTCCAGTATCATGGTTAATAATCAAAATGCATTCTTTTAAGTAAGGTTTCTTTGACCCTTTGAAAACACTAACTGGTGTAGTTGAACCCTGTTTAGAAAGTTAATTATCATTACTTGAAACTTATCATAGAAATTCAGTTGGGAAGGGCCTTTGAGATCTTTTGTGTTTCTTCCTCTATGTTATCAACTATAATTACTACTCTGACAAGGAGTGTAGTTAGAGAGAAAGAGAGAACTTGGAAGAAAGAAGAGAGAGGGGGAGAGAGAGAGGCTAAGATCTGAAGGCTGCCATCACTGAGGAAATGGGATAGAGGAAGCACTTGTCTTGAGCTAGTAAAGATTTGTTTCAATGTTTACAATGGGTAATTTAGGATTCAGTTCTAATGCAACCAGTATTTTTTTATGGATATGTGCACAGAAGCCCAGAATCATATTTCCCTGCCCTCTCCTTCTTGCTTCCTAAGTGTAAACTTTTAATCTGGAACTTTATTCAAGTGGTGCTTCCCTATGCAAATTAGGAAAAACCAAAGTATCAAGGAATACCCATTACACTAAATCCACTGATTAATTTTAGTGTCATTAAAAGTGAGACCGCCAGGCATTATATGCTTCATAATGTAATACAGAAGACAGTATGCAACATTACCTATATTCTTGTCTAAAAAAAACCCACAAAGAAATGCATGGGACTATGGTGGTGGCACAGGGGTGATTTGGTGATGGGAAACCCATGGGGATTACAATCGAGATGGAAAAAAAAATGTGCAAAATGATGTAAAAATAAACTTTGTAATAAAAAAAAAATCCCACAAAGAATCCAACTCACCAACATAGCTATGACTGTCAGTTTATAGGATGTATAAGGAAGAGAGGAAGAGTTAAATAATACCAAACAGAAATAATTTGAAATCTACAATGTGAAACACTCTTTTGGACAAAAAACCTGGAAAAGGAGTTTTTATAGACTAAAAGATATTTAAGAAACATAATATCAAAATATAAGAATCTTATTTGAGCTCAGTAGTATAAAGATAAAATTTGAGATCATCATAAAAATGTGAATGTAGACTAGATATTATAATTAATTGTGTAATATGTGGTAACAGCATGGCACTCAGGCAAAAAAAAATAAGTTATAGCTGCATATATAAACATTTATGAAATGGTATAATGTCTGGGGCTTGCTTTAAAATATGCCAGGAAAAATTTGTGGTAGAACATATTTTAAGAATTGGCACTATCCTTTATTTATTTATTTATTTTTAGAGATTAGCAAGTATTGATATCTGTTGAAGCTCAATGCTGTGTACATGGAGATTCATTATACTAGTCTATTTTCCCTAAGAAAAGGTTAAAGTAAGCAAGTTACTAATGTTTCTGTGTTCTAAAGACCTCCGTCTTCCTGTGTGTCTGTCCTCTATCTTTTGTTACTAATCCCTTGATCCCAAAGAAAATTGTTTATTATTCCCCTACTTGATTCCAAACATGCATACATACATATATACATATATATTCTTAAACAATGTTATCTTTGGTTTTTGAACTTTATAGAAATGTGTTAAAACATGTATATATTTTTTTAAATTAATTAATTTATTTATGCATAGAAGAACTGGGTTACAAGCCAGAGGTGTGGGGAGTGAGAGGATTCACCAGAGACAAGAGTGGGGAGCACAACAGGAGGATCTACTGAAATACACTGTTGAGGGGAACAGTGGGCGGGGTCAGGAGAGATCTGCTGTGCCATGTGGGTCACCTGCCTGGCCAGGGATGGAGCTCATGCTGCAGTGGCTGCAGATAGCTTAATAGTGCTGCACTTTAGCCCAGTGTGCCACAGGGGAGAGCCAGTGTGTTAATTTTAAGCAATGGTTTATGGTAATTTGACAAGTCCTTCACAGATACTGAATACTGAATATAAACAAAAGAATATTTTTTATAATAAGTCACAACTGAAGTTTTTCATAAACTTTATAACTGCCTTCTATACTTGAACAGGTTTTCTTAATTAAATATTTTTTCTTCATGAAACACCATTTCTATTTTCAGTTTATAGAGAAAATGGGAGAATTTAAATGCCTCAAGTTAACAATCATTACATTTACACAAAATCAGAACTCTGAAGGAACTTAAGCTTTCTTTTAAAAACATTTTTGAGGGAAAAGATATTCCTCAGAGGGAAAAACAGGTATCACACAAAAGTTGGTGGATGTGAGCACCGACAACTATCTTGAAGAGATGACTTGCTCCACTGCTATTGTTCCGCCAGAAACCCCTTAACGCTCTACACTGCTTTTCTTGACAGGTGGTAATTTTAACAATTCTCTTTCGTTGAGCTATCTAAAAGAATTACAGGATAAAGTTAAAATTCTTTTGCATTACACATTAGGGCTTTATTACTTAATTTCCAATACCTTTTCTTTTTCTAGAGTGTCACCACATGTACTCCTTCTACTTACGCAGAGTTCTCCAAATGTAACAAAATCTTTTACTGCTTTGCTTTAGCCCATGTCTTTTTCTCTGCCTAAAAATGTCTTCACCTCTTTCCTTTACCTGGGTGAATTTAACTCATTTTTAAAACAGATATTGCTATTTCCACTCCTTTCCCAGATTGAGTCACCTCTCTTTTAACTCCAATATAATTCTTCATAAACCTTTGTAATGGTTTATGTGTTTCAATCCATTATTTACTATCTTCCCTATTAAATGGTATTTTTTGTGGGGGGAGGGGAAAATGACCATGTTCTACCCTATTCCCAATAGCTATCTCCCACAGGATTTACCACACAGAAGGTACAAGTATATATGGCCTGTCGAGTCTTTCATTCATATGTTCACATTTACAAACACAAAAAAATGAGGCTTATTACATGTTTCACAAATTTACAAGTTGAAGACTTAAAATTTTTTCCTATAGTTGTCATCACTTTAATAAATATTTCAGGATCTCTCTGGTGGCTTAGGGGTTAAGTCTCAGCACTATCACCTCTACAGCCTGTGCTCAATAGCCAGACAGGGCACTAATCCACATATGGCACAGCAGATCTTTCCTGTCTTGTCTGATCCTCTCTTTAGCAGTGTATTTCAGTAGATTTGCTTGTTTTGCTCCCCACTCTCTCTCTGGTGAATCCTCTCACACCAGTTTGGCCGTTGGCCTACATCCCAGTTCTTTCACATAGGAAGAAAAAAAAAACAAACAAGTATTTAAATTGCAACCATAACCAAACCCATGGTGGATGGTAACTTAATTAAAGCAAGATGTGAGTGAGTGAAAAAAGAAGTTTATTAACAAATGTAAAAATTTCTATCCAATTGAAGTAGGAAAGCAATATAAGGGAAAAGACCGGAAGAATTACAGTTTTAGGAAAACAGTGTTCAATGTAGCAAGAAAATACCCATCTTAAGATTTTCTGCAAACCAATCATGACTGATCAGTAAAACTATAAAATGAGACCTTACTAGTGGTGACTTTTATCCACTTACAGCTTTTTAATAACTTTAAAATCAAGTGAATGCTTTAAGTTATTCTGTAATAAATATCACAAAGCGAAAAAAAAACCCCCTAGATTATTGGGTACTAAATTTCCAAACTATTTTCAAGATGCCAAAATCTGAATAATTTTTCATCATAGTGTAATACGAAGACTTATCCTCAATACTTTATACCAAAGTATTGATTTTTCATTTTCTCCTAAGGAAGGAAGCATTTGAGAAATACATATTCAAAAGACCCTACAGATTTAACTAACTTTAGGAAAAGCTTCATAGGCAGCAATTGATAAAATATGACATAACAGTGAAGTCTTATTTTATATAGGGCTGATTGATAAGAATAAGAAAAAGACGAGAGGATAGAAAGCTTACTTGCAATACATACTTCTAACCATGATAAGACATCTCACAATACATACATGAGAATGTGGATGAATCACAACAAAACAAAGAAAAAAAAATCTCAGAAAATCTAGTGTTTTCCTTATAGGTTAAAATATAAAGTTATAGCCTTGGCTCTCTCTGATAACAGACCAAGTCAATGTAAAAAAAAAATAAAAAGATACAAGTTGAATGCTAAGCAATTTATGCAAGTGTTTGATAGCATTACTTGGATGCATCTGAAAATTTTAAAAATAGACAAAACTTTTGGTTAATGCCTCCCTGGTTGCTTTCTTTTAAAGCCATCCACCAAACTATTGCTAAAATAACTCCAAAAGCACAAATGTCTACTACTTATGTGATAAAGTCCAAAATAGGCAATACAACACTAAAGATTCTTCACTATCTAATCTCAGTCTATATTTCAGTCTTTACTCTGACCAATAACTTTTTCATATTCTTCAATCTACTAAATTTATTCTGCAAATTTCTTCTTTCTACATAAAGCCTTTCCAGACTTTACTTGCACAGTTTTATATATGCTTTAATGTATAGGACTAGATGTTTACATATTTCTTTGCTATCACAGGTTAATTTCTTGATTCTCATGACAAGAATGGTGCAATTATTTTCATTGAAATTTAGTGTAAGTCCTGAAAAAAAACACTTTTAAGTCTAAAGATATAGTAATACTCACTTCAATATTTGGCAGAGTTATTGTCACCTGTTCACCCTTGCCAACCTCAAGGTCTCCTTCACAAGAAGTGTCAATAGAAGCAGGTTTGAAGTCATCTAAAAAAAAAAACAATAAAGACAGATTTTTTTAAATACCTGGATATGAAAAATATAAGCATGTTTCAGTTTAATAAATTATTTTAAACTTCGTTTAGCAACAAGTTTTCATATTATAATTAAACAAAATATAATACAGTACACTGATTCTGAAAAAAAAAATGAAATAGCTATACTTAAAAACAGTATTCCTCAAATCATGCTCCTTTTGAGTCCTGTTTAGACCAAGATGAATTAGACTTGGGTGTTGAGAAATTTCAATGCTGAACAAGTTTAAAGACCTTTAAAATAGGAAAGTCACTAAAACATAATTTACATCAATATATAGCAGTGATTAATTATTCGGATACACAATTCCACAATTTATATTTATTTTTTCTAAGTTAACCCTTTATTAACATGTAGCACGCATGCAAAACAGAACACTAACTTTATAAACTTGATGAAGCTTCACAAAATGACATGTGTGTAATCAGAATTAAGAAACACAATATTCTCATGGCCCTCCCTGGTGGCGCAGCGGGTTAAAGCACAACACTAAGAAGCTAAAGCCACTTCCGCATGAGTTCGATCCCCGCCTGCCCCGGAGGTGACCACATGGCGTGGCAGACCTCTCCTGACCCGCCCGCTGCTCCCCTCAGCAGTGTTCTTCGTCAGTCAGCCTGTTCTGCTCCCCACTCTGTCTCTGGTGAATCCTCTCACCCTCCACATCTCTGGCCTGTACCCCAGTTCTGTATGAATAAATAAATAAATCTTAAAAAAAAAAAAAAAAAAAAAGAAACACAATATTCTCAATTCCACAGGAGACCTCCTTAATACCCATACTAAACAGATTTACACGTAGCAGAGAAGTCCCAAAGGCAAAAATCTAAATCCAAGGTAATGAATATTTATTACTGAAACTTAGGGAACAATGAAGGGGCTGATTTTGATCAAGGAAAATCTTCCACTACTCATCAAATTATCTCTCTATTATCATTCTATATAAACAAAAGGAGCCCCTGTTTTACAGTGACATAACGATAGCTAACATTTATAAAATACTGTATGACAGGCATTTTACTAACATTTCATATTTATTTCTCATAACAACTGACAAAAATTGAAATTGATTCCTTCATTAATTCACACAAAGTATTCTTTGTATCTTATTCTTCATGTTGATTTAATTAGAAGCATAGTACATTCAATAATCATCCCTTAAAATCTGAACACTTATTCATAGATTTTAAAAATAGGCAAAAATAATATAAACAGCATAAAGAAGTGAAAGTTTGCCATAAAATATATCTCAATTAAGGACAAAGATAAATTGGTGTAAGTAGTAGAAAGGTAATGAGTAAAAGATAGCTAAAGAACTAAGTTATAGATGCTTAAAAGAAAAAAAAAAACCTTCAAGAGAATAAGTAAATGTATAAAAGAAAACAATAATCCTAGCAGCTATAAACTATGTGCTAATTGATTTATTAATTTGTATTCCCAATCATCTTATTTCAAAGCTTCACAATTCTGTAAAGTGATGAATATCTCTATTTTACAGATAAGAGAAGAAAGGGTAAAAGAAATTAAATCTCTTGTCTAAGATCATACAATTAACATTTGTTGAGGCAATAATAAGGAACCACAAACTTTAGCTGGAATAAAAAGATAAGTTGGCCAACAATCTCTAATGTCATTCTCATTGATATCAACACCAGGAAGAGACTACAACTTCAGTTTGGGCCAGTAAATATTTTGAAACTAAAATGAGAATGAAAGTCATTTAATAAGAAAATAGAAAATTTGAAATGAAGTCACTGTCATTTTAAAATATTTTAATATAAATAAACTATCATCATGACCTACAATGGTGGCAGTAATAACAGATTTTGTTGATTTTAACATGTCAAATTTCAAATATTAACTGTCTTTCAAGTACAATTAATCAATGTAGTAGACCTGTAAATATTCCTCAATCTTCTTACATCACTCACATCTAATTACTGTCTTCTTTCATATCACTTTTCATAAACATCTCTTTGCATTCTTGCCAAGGACAACAAAGTTTTCAATTAACAAAAGGCTGAACTATCAAAGTACCTCCAGCTTGCCCTTCTGCTTTTCTTTATGTTTTGCTTGCAGAATTTGAAACCTATTTTAAAGTTGTTCTTCTCTGAAGCAGTCTCTGGGTTCAGAGAACACAGCCCTTACCCTATACTCCGAAAGTCTCAGTTTCTTATCTCCTTCTGCAGCATTTATTATACCACCCATTAGATTAACATAAATTACCTGATATTATTTGCCTCTTTGTGGACATTTCCTACTGAACACACAACTTTTAGAAGCACAATGCATCTTACATACATTCCTCCAGAACTGGGACCCCTAGAACAATGCCTTTATATAATAGGTATATAAAAGATATTTACAATTTACTCCAGTTTATATTCTTTGCCTTACTCTGAACCACCTCCAATTTATTTAAAGTATAAATTTATTTAAGCTAATTATGAGTAAAAGCTTGTTTCTAATTTTTTCCCTGAGTATCAGGTTGATCTCTACTTTGACTCTCATTTATTTATAGTAAATAAAGCCATATTCCTTTTGTACTTTTCACTAGTACACTTCTGTTTTCATAGAAGGCACCTGTTACTTAATATCTGACAATAAATAATTCTGGCGTTACCCTTGCTCTATAATGCTATGTAAGTTTTGGGAGTCTGTTTTCATCTCTGTGTATGTACAAACCTTACCTTATCCACCACCGAAGTTCTAGCACTGTTTCCACTATCAGGTTGACACCTTTAACCCTTTCCTCCTCTCCCCCCCCCCCACCTCTGGTAACCACTATATTTTTTATAGTCTAAGAGTTGTTTTTATGGTGACTGTTAGTTGATTTGCTTTGGTAATTGTCTTTCACTTTCTGATCTTACTTCACTTAGCATAATCATCTCAACTTCCTGTGAAGTCGTAGAATATTAGAAATGGAATCCTAGAGTAAAGCCAAGGCTCCCTGACCTCCCATTTTTTTCTGATAGTGACACAAAGGATAATAGTGGAGGTATAACTGTCATTTAGCTACAGCTAAATAATGTTTTGAGGATAGGAAAGACAGGTAATCCAAGGCAGTGACGCAGACCAGACCTGGAAAATAAGCCCAATTTAAGGAGGGACAACCATGTTCTGCTACAACCAGCAGCTGCCAAGAGAAACATTGGCTCAGTGTTACCAGGTTATATTCTGATTTTTACAGAAACCAGTAATCTAGATTTTTGTATAAATCTTGATTTTTACCTACTTACAATTAGTTTATGAATTAATTCATAAAACAATAATGGTGTGGGCCAAACATAGAATCTCAAAAGTCAAACTATAGGCTGTTAAACTATAACCTCTGTTTCAGTGTTTAAAATTAATTCCTTTTTGATCTGAGTATTACTTCATTGTGTATATATCCCACATCTTCTTGATCCATTAATCTTTTCTGAGACACTTGGATTGTTTCCATAGTTTAATAGTAGTAAGTAGTGCCATCTGCAGCAACATGGATGGAGCTTGAAAGGATAATTGTAAGCAAAATGAGTCAGAAGGAGAGAGACAAATACCAGATAATATCACTAATATGTGGAATATAAAGTAACTATTTAATAGTCATATAATGACAAGCTGAAAAAAGTAACCCTTGACAATTGACTATAGAACTGAGACACCAAATAGAGAGGAGATTAGGAAGGGAAAAAAAACAGGGAGGGAGGGAGATAATATGGTCTGTGGAAGTAGACTCTGGGTGAGTTGGTAGTGGTAATACCTAATGGGGGTGGCTCAATATCACCTCAGTTAAAAATAAACAAATTAGGGCCTTCCCTGGTGGCACAGTGGGTTAAAGCACAACACCAAGAAGCTAAAGCCACTTCAGCAGCATGAGTTCGATCCCCACCCACCCCCGTGGTGATCCACGTGGCGCAGCAGACCACTCCTGATGCACTGGCTCACCCGCTGCTCCCCTCAGCAGTGTACTTTGTCATTGGGCCTGTTCTGCTCCCCACTCTGTCTCTGGTGAATCCTCTCAGTGCCCCTGCACCTCTGACCTGTACCTCAGTTCTGTATGAATAAATAAAAATCTTTAAAAAATTAATTAATTAAAATAAAACAAAAAATTAACCCTTTTTCTTTATATTACCACTTTTGATTTTTATAGCCATTCTTTGAATTGAACATCCTTACTCATATTTTAAAAAGGCAAATTCCCCTGAAGTAATGAAGCTTGTAAAAGATTAAGTTAGGAATTCAAGTCATTTACTCTATTCACTCATATTCTATAGATTTTTACCTTATGTCCACAGTTCTTAACTTGTGTGTGTGTGTTTGTGTGTTGTAGGTTGATAGGGAGGGAAATGTCAGATGAGGGATAGTCATAAGTCCTTATGAAAAAATGATGAAAATTATAAATCAGCTATAGTTCTCTCCACAGAAAAATACATATATATGTGCCAAAATACTTCCTAATTTTAAGGAATTCATAAGCCCCTGAAGTCAACCCAAAAATGCTTATTGTATATGAGATAACTATAAGAGACAGAAGTGTATTCAAAATGTATTTTTTTAACCTTGAAACAAAAGAGATCTTTTTTTTAAAGAATATCTTTTATATTTTGAAGTATTAAATATAATATCTCAAAAGGTCAAATGCTATGTCTTCTAAGTTGCTGTGACTCCAGACTAAATAATTTATTTCTTTTAGTTATACCATTTTAGAAACCCCATCACCAATTTCAGCATTTATTTATCCTCTCTGGATTTTTTTCTGATACCTTTTCTATCAATGCTTATCACTTTTTTTGCAATTTCCTTTAGTATCATAATGTCGATGTCTTCATAAAAGAATCTACAATCCTATTACAAATATACTTCCCAGGGGCCCTCCCTGGTGGCACAGCGGGTTAAGGCACAGCACTGAGAATAGAAAGCCACTTCAGCATGAGTTTGATCCCAGCCTGCCCCGGAGGTAACTACAGGGCACGGCAGACCTCTCCTGACCTGTCCACTGCTTCCCTCAACAGTGTACTTCGTCAATCTGCCTGTTCTGCTCCCCACTCTGTCTCTGGTGAATCCTCTCACCGCCCCTGTGCCTCTGGCCTGTACCCCAGTTCTGTATGCACAAATAAATAAATCTAAAAACAAAACAAAACAAAACAAAAAAACCAATATACTTCCCAGAAAAAAAAAACAAACAAATATACTTCCCAGAATTGAACTATTTCTACAAACTTCAAAACCCATACCACTTCCAATATACCACGTTGATCAGAAAGCATATTTTAAATTCTGTCTTTCATTTTGTACTTTCCTTTATTTGCTAACACCAACTTTAAACAACTACTTTTTAAGGAGTGGCTCCACTTAAATATTCAGACAATCTTGCTATAGTCATTGCCCATGAGTTAATTTTGTGACAGCAGAGTGTTGCCGTTTACAAACTTAGGAATTTTAATATATACCCTTATCTAGACATAAGTGGTAAAACTGATATTGACTCAAATGCAAAATTTATTCTAGAGGATCCTGTTACTCAGACACATCTAAATGAAGCATGCTGTTAAGTATTTAGCCTATCATCTATAGAACATCCACGTCTTTCTTACTACATGCTGGACTATTTTTTGATATGTTTTATTGCCAAGCCCTGATAAATACATCTTGAAAATCTAAATAAAGTATATTCAGACACTAATATGTGCATAAATGTAATCATGAAGAATGGTGACCATTGTTTAGTCTCTACTATTCACTAAATACTGTGTTAGGTTGTTTATACTCTTATTTAATCCTTAAAAACTCATTACCGGCCCTCTCTGGTGGCGCAGCGGGTTAAAGCATAGCACTGAGAATGTAAAGCCGCCTCTGCATGAGTTCGATTCCCGCCTGCCCCAGAGGTGACCACATGGCATGGCAGACCTCTCCTGGCCCGCCCGCTGCTCCCCTCAGCAGTGTACTTCGTCGATCTGCCTGTTCTGTTCCCCACTCTGTCTCTGGTGAAGCCTCTCACCGCCCCTGCACCTCTGGCCTGCACCCCAGTTCTGTATGCACAAATAAATAAATCTTTAAAAAAAAAAAAAAAGAAACTCATTACCACCATTTTTCATATAAAAAAATTGAGAGTTTAGATAATGTTCTCAAAGCTATATTTCATTACAAAGATGGTGGAGGCCAGAATACACTAGATTGTCATAATTATCTCTATACATAAAGATAAATGTTACTTTCTTCCAGGTTACATTAACTTGAATGTTTATTATAAATCATGCTCACCTGCCCTGTCAGAAGTCCAATTTCCTATTTTATACTTTCCCTCCCTATTCCGAGTCTTTAAGAATGAGCATCATATGGGCAATAAATTTATCCTCAGGATAATGACTGCTTTTACTTGCATCAATCTAAGAAGACTCTGTCTGTTTCAACAAGAATACAAATAAGGTCCAAAAACCTTTCTGATACCTGCCACAGGCCTAAAGTGTTGATTAATGTTCTTGTTATTGTTGTTTAGCTTATATTCATTGTAGCTGGATCATCTGATTCTCTGACTCTGAAGACATAAGTCTAACATTTTGAGAACGTTTATAAATGAAAGGCCTTAAAGTACCAACAAAATACATTACAATGGTCACTTTTTACTCATTTAATTTTGGGTTCATGCCCTTAAAAAGAAAATATATGTCCAAGTTATTTTCAATTTTTCCTGAGCAAATTTTTTTTTTAAAGATTTATTTATTTGTGCATACAGAGCTGGGGTACAGGCCAGAGGATCAGGGGCGGTAGGAGGCTTCACCAGAGACAGAGTGGGGAACAGAACAGGCAGATCGACGAAGTACACTGCTGAGGGAAGCAGCGGGCGGGCCAGGAGAGGTCTG